TTATTTCCATTTATCTCAACATTCACTTAAGTCGGTAAGTCTTTGTTTCCAGTACTGCAGTCTTTGACACTCAGACCTCCGGAGGTCCATGGAGCTGCCAGAGGAGAAGCCAAGAGGGGTCCAGCTACAACCAGGAAGATGAAGAGCCAGCTGCACCGAGGCACCGGGCCCTCTGGGAAAAAAAAATTCTTAAAAGACACACAATGAACATTGTTCAAAATCAGAAAGAAAACATTCTAACCTAATAATGACAGGTAATGCTAGTTCAAAACCAAAACAGTCTCATTCTCTAACTCAGCTATCTGACATGCCAGGTTGAAAGACTAGACAAGAGAAGCTCATAAGCTAATGGAGACTACCTTCAACAACATCGATATAGATCCTCAGTCATCCAGGTCATGGTAATCTTGGAGCTTCAGTGGAAAGCAACTGGACTTCTCTTTTTAGGTTCTTGTAGACGTTTCATCTCTCATCCAGAAGGCTTCTTGACTTCGGACTGACTGGTCGGGAGTTTCAGATGTATATAGTCACTGTGTTGTTACTATACTTCCGCCACATTTGGAATAAGTAGCTGGAGCATCTGAAAAACTCCTAAGGATTTTCTCCAAACACAAGATATCAGTGAACTTCAGACCTAGTAACACTCTGAGATAAACACTGGTTCACCCCAAGGATAAAACAGCAACACACACGGGGAGCAACGTTGTATATACAGTCCATTGCAGGAGGAGTCCACATACTTGTACATGGGGGAGATTATACAACAGCTCCACAAGCTCCACAACTGCATCGGCCATCTCTAAACAGAGGAGGACCACGACACCACTTATCAAGCACCTATAAAACAGTGATAAGGTCTCTCCCCACAAAGTTTCACCATCATTAGCATCTTAGGTCACTCCTGAATCATATCCTTTACTGTGAAAACTGGCAGCTCCACCACTATTGTTCCTGGTGTTGCTTCTGGACCAGCTTGTTTCACAGCATTTTCACCTAGAGGCAGGTGAGTCCTGGGTTGTTAATAAACCAGTAGTCATGTGAGCAGGAGTCACTATTTACACCTGAAACTCCTCATCAGTCAGTTAAAACAGAAGAGGCCTCTTGGCTTAGAAGTCAAATGCTTTCAAGAATCTAAAAAGAGAAGTCCAATTACTTTCTACTGTAGCCCCCAGGATTACCTTCAACATGTGCTTCAATACTGACTGATCCACCCAAGACTCACATCTCATATACTCTGGCTTTAACAGCTCCACGCTTCTTTTTCCATGATAAACAAACTTCTCAAACCCACAGACAACACTTCTAAGGCAATAATGGGGTTATTCAGATGGAGATTCCTAATGCATTTAGCAAATTGGCCATTCTAGCAGAACAGCTTTCTGTGTTTCCTGTCAGATTCAAACAACAAATATTTTAAAGGACTCATATAAATATACATTTTTCTGAAGTGCTGCTTTTTACCAGACATACGCTATTGGCACACCATTTTGTTTGACTCCATGTTTCCCTAAATCTCTGTAATGAAGGTGGAGAGTGCAAAGTCAGAGACAAAAACCACAATAACGGAAAATATGTCAGGTTAAAACAAACTGGAATTATCCTGTAACAACTGCACCTCCTTCAATGCTCCTGTGTCCCAAAGTGTTCCCCAAGATTCAGCTTGTTGTAATCTCCTGTTCAATTTCTGCATGCTGTGTCTTGGTCATTTCATAAGTTGTCATGTTCTGTACTTCTAGTGCTAGGCCAGTGACGTACATGCTCTCCACAATATCACCACTGCAAGTCACATCCATCTAACAAAACCCCTTGCTGAAATTCAATCATTTCTAAAAAAAAAAAAAAAAACAAACTATGAAAAATCAGACATGTTAATCATCTGTGCCAAATTACTCAACAATTGCGTTTACTTGTGCCTCGCTGTTGACAGTCTAATCACCAGAACAAGCTGGGGTAGTATTCTCTGCAGCACATCACATCAAATCCACTAGCTTGTGTAGAGCATGTTGTAAAGTGTGCTATATATATACAATGCACTAATGTTTATTTATAATCTTATAAATAAACAGATTGCATAAATAGCGTTTTTTTTTTTTTAACTTTTCTTTCTTCTTTTTTCCCCCCCATGGTTTCAGGTGTGGATTTTTTCATGCACTGTGTTGACAAAGATGGTAGAGTGCCTTTTTCCTATGAACATCCATTTTCTATTTTAGAGTTTTGTCCACTATTAGAAATGTTTTCATGAGTACATATGAAAAATCTAAAATAAGTCTCTAATAGTCAGATCCACAGATTGTAACACTTGTAAAATAAAGAAGTCGGAAATAGGATAATAGTTTCTGAGCTCTCAGATGCCACTGTGGGGTGGGAAAGCCGTTATGTGTGATGCATTGGGAACAAAGAAGCTTGGTGAACTAAAGCAATGCCCAGTAACAGCTACCATTACTGTTACTTTTTTTTTTTTGATGTGCAACTTTATATTAATTGGACATCACTTTAAGTTAAAATGTTGACAAAATCAAGCTGTAATCTATTTCAGAGAATGTACTTTTAAATGCAATAGAAAACCCACTGTATGTAATCAACTTACTGTTTGTTTGATAAAGAAAATGCATATTTTTATTTCTATACTATGCACATGAGCAGAATTTCAAATTCAATTTTCAAAAGTCAATCAGTAATGAGTAATGTTATTTCCTAATAGTAACACTTCTGTAGTCTGTAGCTTAGAATCTGATATCCATTTTATTCAGTGTCATGTCCGTCGAGTTTCTGTTTATGTGTGCACGTTTTACGTCTTGTATTTCCTGTTTTATTTTGAAAACACTAACTGGTTGTCTCTGTCTTAGATTACTTCCTGCACCCATCTCGTCACACCTGCTCCCTGATGGTTTTCCCTCACCTGTTTCCCATCTTCTCTCATTATCTCGTGTTTATTACCCTGTGTGTCTCACAGTCTTGTTGCCAGTTCTTTGTACTTCACGGTCCTCATCTCAGCGTTGTCATAGTCATAGTCATAGTCTGTTTTGTGTATGACCTTGTTTCTGGCTACAACCTTGCCTTTTTGCCTGCCCTTTCTGGATACCTCTGGCTGTTGGATTGATCACCCATGTACTGAACTCTGTCCGGTAATAAACCTGCCTTTCTGCCTGAACCCATTCTGTGTTGTGCATTTGTATCCACCTGTTCTGTTCCAACTGAGTTCTTGACACACAGAAGTCAAACTGCAGTAGTGAAAGTCAATGTAATCAAAATCTGGCACTTTTAAAAAAAATTTTTTTTTTATATACTATTCATTTTTTGCAGGGGAATCTTTTATTTCTTTTAAAATAATTATAGAACTAATTACAAAAATCAAGCATATTTACAAGCTATACAGACTGTAGTAGGTATACTTGCTTTTGTGTCTTCTCTGTGAACACAATATGCAATTGGGCTTAACGTCACAAAAAGCAGGTCTGCTTTGATCTGAAGCTTGTTCGGTTTCTCTCAGTGTAATATACATATTTATTGAAGAGCTAGAACAAGCAGACGCTGTCAGTCAGTGAGGACAAAAATGTTTCACTTAACACTGCTTGGTATGTAGTATAAAATGTCATGAATTGAAAATGTGAAAAACAAGCACCATCAGTGTGTTGTGTTGTGTTTTGTTCCCATTGGCTTGGTGATGTATTGTCTTTTGTAGAAGCCAATAATGTAATAATAGCCGATAATGTAACAACGGCTGATAACGTAATGAATTTGCACTTTTTAAAATGTAATAGGTCAATGACGCAACAAAAGTCTTGAACCAATAACGTAATAATTTTTGGCCAATAACGTAATAAGTTATTACGTTATTGGCCAAAAGATATTACAGTTCAGGACTTTTATTACATTATTGGCCCATTATTACGTTATTGGCCTTTTACATTTTTAAAATGGCAAATTTATTACGCTATCAGTCGTTATTACGTTATTGGCTTCTACATCGTTACATGTGCCCTCAGTGAAATGCAGCATTTTATGACCTTGACTTCATTGGTGTTGATATTTCAGAGATACCACAGCTGACCAAAATAATAAAGCAATTTAATATGAAGAATGTAATATTAAGAATACATTTTTAATGTTTCTAATAATCAAAATATACATTCTAAAAACAGACAAACAAAACAAAACAAAACAACAACAAAAAACATTAAAACAAAAATAAAAATCAGGTGTCAAAACTACTGCCATAAATGCATTGTTTGGTATAACTGATGATCTGGTGCAATTTAGGATATAATGGGGAACTTATGATATGCAGTAAATAAGATACAATTTAATCAAACCATTAAAATTTAATATTTATAGAAAGATAAATGTAAAATACATATATATATAAACGTCACTGTTACATAACTATAGCCTACCAGATATCAAAAGTCATGATAGTAATAATATACAGAGCTTTAAATGAAAGTGATTGTGGCGCTCCAAAGTAAAATTGTGTGTGAAATTATATACAATAAATACATTGTTTTACTCTTGAGCTATTTTCCCCTACATACAAACTCAACCAGCAGGCTAGGAAAGCTATTTATCAAGTTTGCTATCTTTTCTTTCTTTCTTTTTTTCTATAGAAATCTTATCCTTACATTATGTATGGATATTGCAACCTAAAGAACAGAGAGTTACCTACAAAAACAAAACAAACAAACAAAAAAAACCCTCAAAGGTCTCTGATGCACCTTGAGATAATTTTCTTTCATGTGGTCACTACTGTCTATTTAAAGCATCTCACAATACATTTATAACTCAGAAATATACCTCCATTATGAATTCACTTTCACTTTTTGAAAAGGACTTTTAAAATTTGAAACCTTTGTCTTTGGTAATGTAAATAAATAATATTATAGTGAATGTGCCTATAATAACCCCATATTAAAGATAAGTTTTGCTTATCCTCCATCAGGAAAACTTGCTGTATTTCTTTAGCTAGCTTTGTAGAGAAAAAACAAACAAACATTACTTGCTTATATATTTTTATACCTCTGTGTTGGCAACAGTTGAGGCCAGAAACATTATGATTCCAGGTTTTCAATCCCTAATTTCATGCATCATAGTCTTGTTTTGTGGTCAATTTGTGGTCAAACATTAATGACCTCACAAAACACATTTTTAGCCACACCTAAAGACTTCATTGCTTATTATGGCCAAATTTCACACAAATTAAGTGATGACCTTTTACCTCCAAAAGAACTGAAGTCAAGTCTGGACAGATGTAGATGTAAACTGCAACTTGTCTGTCTGGCAGGTGTATACAGTTGCAAGGTGATACTTCTAGTTTACTACTATTTTACTTCTGGCCATCAGTCCCATTAGTTACGATAACAATACTCACCAGAATAACTGATAAGATCTCAATGGTGTTTACTATGTTATGAACATAGCTGATGGCACCAAAAGCCAGAATGATCACAATATTATGCAATTAGTAATGCATTTTAGTTTTCTTGTACTTGATTGGAAGTACAACTAGCTATTTAGCCAAAACGAATGTTCTGCAAAGTACTAGTGAATAATTTATTATCGATAATAAAGAACACTTTGTAAAATATACTGTATCAGAAAGCCAAACCGTAATTATTTTGCAGGTAGTAACTGAATTCATTGCCCAGTCAAATTTAAACAAGAAATACTGTAAATGAGCCAATGTAAAGCATAGAAGGGGCAATATGCGCCATTAAAATGTATTAATACAACAAGACTTGTATCGAGGCTACTGGATCATAGCAAGGTAGGTAACTGAACCTTAAAATATCAGTAGCTTATTATCAGTAGCAAACAGCCTACAGGTCTATAGATTTAGTTTACATTCCTTTAGCTTCAGCTTTATAATTTCCTCAAAGCTTTGTCTACCACTCCTAAACATGACTGTCAACCTGAAAGGCAAAAGTAGATCTCCACACTCTTCGAGTGCATGCCAATGTAATGTTAGATATACTGTCTGTTCTGAATCATTCACAGTCACAGTAAACACCATCTTTAAAAAAATTAATAAAATAAAATCCTAAAGAATATTAGAGCCAAATATTTCCATATACCATACAATCATACATCTTTGCGTGGTGGAAAATCTAAGAAAGTGGTGCCTTGTGACTGTTAGAACCGTCCTGAGTTATAATAAGTCAATACATTAAAGGATACAAAAACACAATGTCTCATTTTTAACAGCAAGGAAGGGTCCACTGACAACCACTGCAAAGTCTTTGGTCACATTCAGATGTGAGATTTTCTGTGAAGATATTGTCACTGCTGTTGATTATGCTGCCGAGAAATTCGATCTGATGGAGTCCTCTCGCAGTTGACGGTGCTTCCCAGAGTCACACTCTTGACCATGGGTGCGGCGCTCAATTGTAATCCTGTAGTTTTTCCTACAGAGGAATGACACACATTACACAAGCAGAAAATCTTGTTTTCATTGCTCACATCCATTATCTATACACCGCTTAATCCTCACTAGGGTTGGGGGGGGGGTTCCCAGCCGACTCAGGGTGAAGGCAGGTTCACCTGGACAGGTAACCAGTCTATCACAGGGCTACACTTAGAGACGGACAACCAAGCACACTCACATTCACACCTACGGACAATTTAGAATCATTAGTAAACCTGAGCATGTGTTTGGACTGTGGGAGGAAGCCAGAGAACCTGGAGAGAACCCACACTGCACAGGGAGAACATGGAGACTACACACAGAAAGATCTCAGACTGAGATTTGATCCCAGGACTTTCCAGCTATGAGGCGACGGTGCTGACCATCATAAAATCTTACTCACCAGAATCACAAGAGCTGTTGTTGGAGCTGTTGCTCATTACTTATATGATAGTGAAAGCTTAAAATAATTGCCATAAATTGTGTTATTAAAGTCATTACCCTATGCAATGTGAGACCCAGTATCAGCTTTAACCTACAATCTGCTTAACTTACATAAAACGTACTGTAATTTTGAGTCAGACGTTTGGCTATGCTCACTATTGCAACTTCATATAAGAGGTTTCATTGTTCGACTTAAGGCCTCGGTCACAACGGGACGCACGGCTTTTGGGATCGTACGTCCTCTGTGAATTTTGGGTCCCGTGGAGGCCGTAGAGGTAGAGGAAAGGTTGCAAGGGCTCCGTCAGAAATGCGTAAGAGAGGATTAAGCCTGCCTTGCGAGTCGCACGTGAGGTGTCCGTTCAATTGCCACATGCGATTGCCGTGGAAATTGTACTGACTTCTAGAGTTTGTCTTGCCACCTACGTACATGGCACACACTCACCACAAGGCAGTCACACTTGCCTCACGCCCTCCTAATGATGACGGCGTACGTGAGTTTGGCGTGATTGTCAAAAAAACAAAACAAAACAAAAACAAAAAAGCAAAACAGAGACACTAGGCCGATCAGGTTATAGGCTGTCTTGTAAGTTCTGTTAACATACTGACAAGGTTTGAGCTTAAGGACCTCCCGTCATCCCGGGGCGATCAAAAAAAATAAAAAAGATCCGGGATGATACAAACTGATTTCAGGACTAAAGTTAAAACTTTAGAACAAATGGCATTGAAAATAAATATAATTTCATGCTTTGTGTAACACACACACACACAGATCCTGACAACTTGGCGGTGACAGTTCGCCTGCAGTGTCACTGTCTGGCCCGCTCCTGACTTCCAGCTGATACCGGCCATCAGCATCTCCAGTGAGCCCACCTGCTCCTCCAACGGAGACACGTACGAGCTGCTAACACATATTTTCATATATTCGTTTACACATATTCGCTAATGATTTCCTCTTAAAAACATTAACGGTATGTCCCAATATAGTGTGACATCTGCGCATCAGCGATAAAGCCAAGAGTCGCACTGCACTTGTGTGTGTGTGTGTGTGTGTGTGTGTCCCAACGACGTAACTATCGCCGATGCAGGCGGTGCAATGCACCGGGGCCGTGGTGTGGTAGGGGGCCCACTCTTGGGCCCATGTGATGCCCGTACAGTCAGCCTGCTCACCGTCTCCTGGCAGCACAGCTCTGTGACAGCCTCCGTCAGCGACGTTTGCACAGCATTGCTTTGGATCTTACCGTGCCTGTCACTGTTGCGACTGCGGAGCGCTCTTTTTCTAACTCATCAAAGCATATTTGAGCAGTACGGAACAGGAAAGACTCAGTGGGTTGACAATGCTCTCAACAGAGCGCAACAGAGCCAAGAATTTGGACTTGAGCGATGTTGTCAGTGACTTTGCTGAGCGGAAGGCCCTCAGGATGAACTTAAAATGGGTGAGTATGTCAGGGGGTGACAAGGGAGTGGGAGGTGCCCATAACCGTGCCATGTTTATTTGCATGTATATTTGAAGTGCTATAAATTATTATGGGTGTTTATTTGTGTGTAGATTTGGGTTTGAATTATGGTTATTGTGCGCAGTGTTATATTTCATATTTTGTGCATGGATTTGGTTTATTTCTTATAAAAAGTTGTAGAGTTTTTTGCATAGATTTTTATGCATGATATGTGGATAACTACAAACGTCACCTTTCCCCTGCTTTACCTCCCTTATGCTCTAATCACTCATTATTGGCCCAGTCAGCCTGTTCCACTTTAGAAGACAAGTGCGGGATTTCAGGGGGGCAAATCAACCTGACGATAGACAGGTGTCCCAGAAGACGTGTGGCGAGCCTGGCCTTCATGTGTGAGAGGGACGGTGGATGGACACGGCCGCGTCACGCAGGTAAACAGGGAGCTGCCGACTGTCCAGACGGAGCCACGCCACGCGGTGATCGCGGCTGCGGGACTGCCGACTGCCGGACGGAGCCACGCCACCCGGTGATTGTGACGGCGGGACTGCCGGACGGAGTTACACCGCGCTGCGGTTGAACGGAGGCGCCGCACTACATTGAGTATTATTCAGGCTGTTTTAAAGAGTGCCTTAACTCAGACACTCTAGCCAGTGCTTTGTTTACTGTAAGCCAGCAGCTGTGTTTTTGTCCTTTTGCTATCTTTTGTTATTCGATTTTAATAAATTATT